GGTCGTACAAAACACCCCCCTCTTCGCATAAAAAGTTAATAAATTAATTAAATACTTTGTCAATAAAACTAAATTTGTCGTTTATTGTTCCCGTCGCAGTATTCGGTGCAAGTGGCTGAAATAAGCAATGGTAACTAGGGATGGTAAAATATCGACATCGAAATCCAACCTTGTCAAGTTATCGCTCTAGTACGCAGGAAAAAAATAAATTTAGCAACAAAAGCAAATTTAGCAGCCAAGTAACAGTGCTGAACGCCGTCAATATTGCTTTTTTTGTCTTGAAAACGTGTTAAAAGTGCTCGAATATATCAATAAAGTAGCCCAAGCAAAGGAAAAAGGCAAAGTTTCGTGCGTTTCATCGTTCGTCGACTCTTGGTGCTGGCAATTGGCTTGCGCTCCCCAATCTATTATGAACAACAATAGTAAGCGGAAAACTCGACCTAGTGGAGGAGGTGGCGGTGGCGGAGCCAACGGCGGCATCTCAAGGTAAGAAGAAGCACCAGCTGCAGTGGAAAAGCGAATGCAAAAAAGACAAACGCCAAGCGACAGACACAAGACAAGGAAAAAAAAGAAACGATACGAAGCGAAAGAAAAAGAAAAAAAAAACACACGCACACAGACACAAGTGTAATCGGTCGGTTGTGTGGGGCTGGTTTGCTTTTCGCTGCTGCTGCTTGCTTGCCGTTGCCCTGACAAATTGAAAACCCGCGACGACTAAAAACGCCACTGAAAGAAAGAGCGCTCTCCCGGTCCGGTCGAGAAAGGTGAAAGCGCGTCTCGAGTCTGTTTCTTCGTGGTGGCTGCTTTTGTTTTTGTTATTCTAGTGGCTGCAGCTAAATAAAGTCAACTCAAATCGAGGAATTCCATTCCCGTTTCGTATTGTCTGAAATCATTCTGAATTTTTGGAGACCAAATCGTAAATGCAAATGGCGCTTATATAAGAGGCCCAGCTGTGTGCTTGTGTGTGTCAATCAGTGTTTGAGTGTGTGTGTGCTCATTGGTGTGCGTTTATCGGGTCAGACTGTTGTGTGTGTGTGTGCGGTTTCAGCATCAGATTTTTATGCTTTGTTTACATTTCCCTTTCGCCAGAAAAAATGGGTACAAAGACATAATTTGTTTAAAGGTTTCCGTTGTCGCATTAGTGGCTCGTGTTGCCTCTCCTCGCCTCGCCTCGCATGTTCGCAGCCCCAAACAGTTGGACCCAGTTCCCCCTCGTGTCGCTACTGCTGCGCCCTTAAAATTTTTCAATTGAAATATGACTGCAGCGCGGCGCGCACACAACCACACACATCCGCATTTGTGCACAGTTCCGGGCATAAGTATTGGCATGGCTCTATATGTGGCCCCTCTCTCGCTCTTCTCTAGAATACGAACTGCTTAAAGCAGATAAAAGGCCTAAATTATGGTATTCACCGAGTTAAACATTTTTAGTCGTGCCAATACTTATCGCCATAACTGTTTGTGGTACACGATCATTATTTATTTATACACCAACACACATGCACATGTATAATTGTGAGCACTGTGGGGCCTGGGCCCCAGTCGTCCCACTGTGTGGCCTGGCGAGGGCCAGTGATGCACGCACACGCGCTCACATATTGTACTATTGCTTTTGTTTTTGTTTTTTCATCGTTTGCCTCTTGTTTTTCGACTGCATTTTCTTGCATAGTCAGCATTTTGCAGTTTTGCCCGTTGCCATTGCTGTGACGTGCAGCGGCTGCGCTGCGCTGCTCTGCTCAGAGTTTCTTTTGGCACACTTCGTCTCCTCTCCCCCCTCTTTGGGCAGCCACTGCACCAGCCCCTCCCTGATGGTGGTGTTCCGCTGGGCGCTCGAAATTTGGGTCACTTTACAATTTGCTGACCGAACGATACATCGCTCTTGTTTTCCATTCTACGTCTATGCATATTTATCCGCTATTCTGCCATGCACACTTGCCTTTCGAGTGTTTGGCCTGCTGCCTGCCTGCTGACGGTGCCTTCGTTTCGCTTCAGCCTATTTCTGAGAGCAGCTCTTGCTCTTAACTGTTCTCTCGCTCACCTTATCGCCACGCATGATTCACTCTTTAAACGCAATCAATTATTTGTTTTCATTCACGAAAATGTGCACAATGCACGCTCTGTGAGTCAGCCTCCCCTCCTTCTCCACACTCCCATCTCATTCTCAGCGATTGCACACCCACGCCCGTTGCTGTTGTTGTTGCGGCTGTGTGCGTGGCCGGGTTCATTGTGCGTTTCGTTGCGCATTTCACGGTCGTCGATCCTGCACGCAACCAACACCAAGTCCCAAGTCCATTCCATCCCCCCAAAAACATCCAAGCGAACGCCACTGAAAACAGAGCTGAACCGTAATTAAATAGGTCCGAGACAAGGCAAAGTCAGCAAAACGCCTCGCTTAAAAAAATCATAAATTGTTCGGAGAATTTTACAGTAATTACTCACTCTTTCAAAACACAAGCAAAACGTAAACAAAGAGCGGGGAACCAGATACCCTGAACCCCCAAAATCGGACTCAGTCCCAGAGGTGATTCCATTTTGCTTCTTTGGCCACACTGCAGTTTCGTACGGCAGCAGCTGGTTGCAAATATTTGTGAGAAATCCATGTAATTCGTAATAAAAATCAATTTAAGAAGCACTACGAGCGTTTTTGAATTTGCTGGAAGAGCCCGTGTCAGAGATTTCCATAATTCATTTAGTCCCCGTAGCGCGTATCGGTAAGTTCTAAAAATGCGAACTAAAATGCACACATACACATGCACTCTCACACACACACACTTACCGCACCATTGTGGGGGTGGGTATTTGCAAGGGGCGAGGGTCGTTGGAGTTTGCCAACAACGAAACGAAACAGAACGAACGAATCGATATCGCTGACGTCCCTGAAACGGTTTTCGCTTTGTCTTTGGCCTGGCTATCACTCTCGCATATTGGCAGCGCCAGCGCCAGCCGGGAGACGTTGATGCTTGTGAATAATTTGTGGCATATGCCATTCCATTCCATTCCCAGATACAACGCGAACGACAACAGTCTGAGACCAGCGAACAATAAGTCAGGTGCGGGTGGAAACGGTGCAGGAGCAGGAGGACCAGCAGCAACTCGACCGGTGGCGCAGGGCGTCTATAATAACACGTTTTTCATGCACTCGGCTACGGCGCTGGTTGGCAGCGTTGTGGAGGTGGTCCTGCGTTCGGGCAATATCTACGAAGGCGTATTCCGTACATTCTCGGGCAATTTTGACATCGCACTGGAGCTACCGGCGTGCATTAAGTCCAAGAATCTTCCGGAAGAGGGCAAGGTGCCAAATCACGTTATATTCCCGGCCGACACTGTCGTTAAAATCGTGGCGAAGGACTTTGATTCGCAGTACGCCACCGCTGGCGCTTTTCAGACCGATGGAGCCATCTCTGACAAGTGCAATGGTATGTCCAATTCCTTTAATCTTTCCATAACTGAAGTACTTATCAAATAACCTTTGATGTAGGTGCGCGTCCGGACGAGAAGGAACTGGAGCCATGGGACTCTGGCGCCAATGGAGACATTGACATTGAGCTGGATGGCGCTGCCAATGGCTGGGATGCCAATGAGATGTTCCGCAAAAATGAGCATACATTCGGGGTAACTTCCACTTTCGACGACTCTCTGGCCACGTACACGATCCCATTGGACAAGGGGGATTCGCTGGAGTTCAAGGAGGCCGAGGCAAAGGCTGAGAAGCTGGCAGCCGAAATTGAAAACAATCCGACGTGCCGCGACCGTCTGGACTTGGAGAATGGTGATGAGGAGGCGCTCTTTGCTGCTGTCGAGCGTCCGGAGCAGGACCATCGCCGCGATGGAGACAGGGAGCGCGAGCGCAATGATCGCGAGAGGGAACGTGAGGATCGCGACAGAGATCGTGACCGCGATCGTGGCAACAAGCCGCCGCGTGGCGCTGCTGACTTCCAGCTGCGCGAGACTATGAGCAGCGACCGGTACATTACCAAGCAGACGCGCGGACCGCAGTTGTCGCATGTGGGCATGTCCCAAGGTGGCGGCGGCGGCGGTGGTCGCGATCGTGATAGTGGTCTTATGATGCCCGGGGTCATTACTGGCGGCGGGACTGGCCAGGGCGGCGCTACGCAGTCGGCTGCAGTTCTATTGCTTGCAGGCGGCCTGAAGACCTCTGGGCCAGCCTCGTCCGCCAATGCGGCAGGCATGGATGCCTCCGGCAAGTATTCCATGGTTAAGCGCAAGACCGTGACCCAAGGGGGCAAGGTAATGCGCGGCAATGTGCCGCCCAGCAGTGGCGGCAACATCTCTGCTGTCCAAGGCGGCAATGGAAATCCTGTGGGCCAGAGCAAGGGTGGCTATCAGCCCACCATGGTCATGCAGAACCAGTATGCGTATCAGGGCAGCTCGCAAATAATACACGGGTAAGCAACGGCAACAGTCACAGCCCACATCATATTATTAATGTATTGTTTTCGCTCTTGTGTCAGGTCCTCCCAATACCGCAATCCATCTCACATGAGCGGCGGCCCCTCCAAGCTGAACGGTGACTCGAACGCCAATACCAATAAGCCGCTGCCCCAGCGGCAGATACGACAGTACCAAGGCTCGCAAAGCAATTCGCTCAACTACGGAGGAGAGCCGCAGCCGATGGGCAAGCCCATGCATAGCTCGCATGGCGGCCATCCTGGCCAAAATAGCAATTCGCCGCCGCTGCAAACGGGTGGGCAGCCGCAACAGCAGCAGCAACAGCCACCGCCGCAACAGCAGCAACAGCATCAGAATATGGCGCCACAGGGGCAGCCGCAGCCCCAACCGCAACGCCAGATGCGGTCTCGCGATAATCAGCTGCAGGATCTGCGACAGTTTGGCCAGGACTTCCAGCTGGCTCCAACAAATAATTCACCACCACAGCAGCAGCCTCAGCAGCAGCAGCAACAGCAGCAGCAGCAGCAACAGCAGCAAGTGCAGGCTCAAGTGCAGCAGCAACAGCGAGCTCTACTGCAATCGACCTCGCNTGTGCCCATGCAGCACCAAGTGCCACCGGCTCATCTGCATCAGGCGCCTCTATCACAGCCACACTATGTGCCTCAACAGCAGCAACAGCCGCCGCCTCCCCAACAGCAGCAGCAGCAGCAGCATGTACCGCTGCACTTGCAACAGAAAGCTCAGCAGCCGCCACAGCAGCAGCAGCAGCTGGCGGAGGCCCAGCACCAACTTGTGCCTAAGCAGCATCAACAGCCACCAGCGCAACAGCAACAGCAGCAGCCACAGCTGGCGCCAGAGCCATCGCAGCCGCAGCCTATCTACCATACAATGCCACCGCCACAGACGTCTCCGGTGGTGATCACCTCGCCGGTCCTGCTGGAGGCACCGCCGCCACAAATTCTGGCGGCCCAACAGCCGCAGCAACAGCTGACGGCCACGCCCAAGCCAGAGGCCTCGCCGGCACCTGGCAGTAATACCACAACCCCCACTGGTATTGCCAGTACGCCCACGACGGCGTCTGCGTCCAGTGCTGGGTCCGAGAAGTCCACGCCTGCTGCTGCAACGAGTGTAGCCACCAGTGGAACCGCAGCCCCCGCAGCTGCTGGGACAACTGGTAGTGGTGGTGCTGCTGCTGCTGCTGCTACTACTACTACTGGTGGCAGCGGAAGTACGCCTGTGGTGAAGAAGCATGTGCTCAATCCTTCGGCCAAGCCGTTCACGCCCAGGGCTGGGGCCGGCACACCCAATCCCTCGCGCCCCCATACGCCACAGACACCGGTGCCGATGCAGGGCATTTATACGACCACGGGTGCACATGTACCAGCGGCGGCGGCCAATCAGCCCATATACGTTGTGCAGCAGCAGCATCCATTCCCGCAACCCACACACCCACAGGCTGGACAGCCACAGCGACTTCGTCGCAATAATTATGGTGAGTGGAGCCGCCACTACGGCAACAGTGATACAAAGTTTTATTTTGTATTTATTAATCGAATGAAACCCACAATCTTGTTACACACACAGCCCCTATGGGAGCATCGCAGATGCATGTCTCGGCAACTACGGCCACCGGACAGCCACTGATGGCCGCCGCTCCCATGCCGTTCATACCGTACTCCCATGCCCCTCAAACACATTTCCAATCACAGGGATATACGCACATGCCGATGCGATTGTATCCGGAGCAACAGCAGCTGCAGTTCCTGACACAGACGCCACAGTCGACCACGCCATCGCCAGGACAGACGCATCAGCCGTTCCATCCGCCACCACAGCCCTCCCCTGCCGGCGGGGGACCGCAGCCGGCATACACGCCGCCCACACCGCAGACATACCAGTTTATGTGCCTGCATCCCCAACAGGTCCTAACCAATCCATATTATCAACCGCATCCAACGCACCAGCATGCGCAGCAAAATCCACAGTATCAGATCGTGATGCAGCAGCATCATGCACAGTGATGAGGATGATGCCACTCCAGCAACAACAACAGCAGCAACATCAGCAGCAGTAGTGGCAATTGGGGGCGGCAGGCATTAACGCTGTAAGGAATGGAATCTGTACGGGCAGCCATCAGTCATCAACAAGCCACATTTAAACACCACATAGCCAACAGCATAAAGCAGCAGCATCGCTGCGACCATCTTCATATCCCTCATTCAACTTTTGAGTAGGCGCGCGCTTGCGGCATTTGTAGTCGCTCCAAGCGAACCCCAAAAAAGAACACACATCCCATACCCATGCCCATACACCACAATCACATAAATGCCATGTGCAGGAGCGGTTCAATCTGTGGCACATCTCACAGACCGACAACAACAACAACTAGGAAATTATAAAATACAATTAAAAACAAAAAGAAAAGGAAACTAGTAAATTTTGAAATTGCAAGACTTCTACAGCGCACGGAAGCGAACAAATAACAACAACAACAAAAGCAATCACTGAACAACAAACAAACACCAAACATATAGGAACTACAAAAAACAAAAACTTAAAAAAACAAAAGTTAGCAAGAGGAAGAAAAGGAAAGAAAGTAAAGCTAAAAGCAGCAATCGAAGAACCCCTCAAAATGATTAGTTAACAAAACAACAACAAGTGTATAATGAAAGCAATGAGCGAGCCTTTTGTAGGGATCGTTTCCCAGCCCCAGCTCGTACCGCCCCCCATGCCCCCGCCCTTAGGCAACTTCCAAATCTGATGATTGGCTCACAAGCAAAAATTAATAAAGAAAATCGAAATTCGATTAGCAAAGCGAAAAAGAAGTCAAATCAAATGTTGTGCAAAGTGAAAATTAGAAGCTACAAAGAGGAGGAGGAGGAGCTACATTTTGTAAACATTGTTTTAAACATTATCCTTAGATTTCCACCTTTTGCTATTCAATAGTTTTATCCAATTTGGCTAGCCTCACAACACAACAACAAATCCCATGCACACACCGAACTCCTTCCAGCCGCACACACAAATCCCCCCATGGAAGAAGAAAAAAGCGACATGCAGTCACACAAAAACCTAAAAGTCATCATTCCACGTTGAAATTATCTCCAAATGTGCAGGCAGTTGGGCACTGCCCTGACCCCCCCTAGATGAATGGATGGAAGCCGGAAATTCTTGTTTGCCTGCACTGCGGGAAATTAAAAAAAAATACGAATGTGATTTTCTAAAAAAAAAGAGCAATACATTTTTATTTCTCCACCCCAACACCTTCTGTAAAACTAATTAATTTGATAGAAATTGAATTTTGTTTTTCACATATCTTGTTTTGGCCTTTGTTTTGAACTTCATTTCTATAGCAGCATTTATTGGACATGTTTTGAAAAATGTGTGTATCAATTATAATTTTGGATACAAATTTCCTTGGCCACTTTTACAGTGTTTGTATGTAGAGTGGTGGGGGAGGGGGGAGGGGCACAGGATATTGTAGGATCTTGTGTCTTCCTGGCTTCTTTCTGGGTTTTGAGTGCCTCCGTTGTCCTTTTTACAACCAAAATGAAGTAAGACAAACCCTATTACAATACTTTGCCCCCCGTCATCCAAGCAGTTCGATTATAATTCGTATGATCAATAAGCATCTGTTGTGGTCTGTTTTGTTTTGTAAACCTTCAAGTTTCCTTAAATGAAAAAAAAAGATTATAAAAAGTAACAATTATTATAAATTTAAATAAAAACAAAAACTAAAAAAAAAAGGAGAAAAAACAAAAAAAAACCAAAAAATATAAAAGATTTGTATATCCTTTTGGCAGGTTATATTCAGCTGTGGGGGAACCTCCTCATCCTCCAGAGTGTATCTGCAAAATAATTTTAATAATTGTCGAGGGGCTGGTGGTGGTGGGGCATTCTATGTTGAGTTTTCTGTACCCAAACTCGTCAAAATGGCTGTGATATGATTAAGTGTACATAAGGTCACAAACATTTTAACGACATGGTATAAGAAAGATGCTTTCCATTCCACTGTTGACCTGCTGCTCTCTGCCCTGCCCAGATCGATGCTGCGTCGTGTCGCGTCGTAGTTGCCATCCACACGAAACTCATCAAAATGGCTGTGATATGATTTTGCTAGTGCAACATTTCACAACCGTTTGATGGGTTACGTAAGTATGGGATGACGGTCGAGTTTTTCGTTTTTTGCCTCGAAAAAGATGTACCGAACACTTGTTGGGCACTTGGGGCTGGGGCTGGGGCTGTGGCTCGGGCTGTTCTGCATACGCACACAGGCCGGCGCAGGGTGCATTTTGATACTTTTTTTTGTGGACACGAAACTGCAATCGATTGCTCATTGCAATGCCCATCAAAGCTGGCTGTGATACGCTTCAAATGCAAATATATCTTTCTTCAGCCATTTTTGATGACACTGAAAGTAAGGTTACCAAGTGCCGGACACGCACGCACACACACACACACACACACACACATACACACAAACGCACACACCAAACAACACGGACTTCAATGCAATTCACGTAACTGTGGCGGCGGCAACGGCAACCGGCGGCTACGAAAGACGATTTTGGGGCGTAATAACGTCATTTACATACGGCATCAACGCACGACGTAAAGTAAATAACGTAACACATAAGCGGCTTTCGTATGCATGCATACGGTGTGGCTGTTGTGTGTGTTTGTGGGTGTGTTTGGGTTGTATCCTGCTGTAGTTTTTCCTATTTCCGGCCTTTCAAATTATTCTTCGGTGGGGGGGGGGGGGGGGGAGGTGGAGCCTGAGTTCGAGTGAACTAGAGGATTAAATTAGTCTGTGTCTGTGTGTGTTTGTGTGTATGCTTGTGCTGTGTGTATGTATGCGCGCGTGTCCGATTGCGCGGCTCGCGCAGGACTCCACTGCTGTCGTTATCCTTCTCCGTTGCGGCTTGCTTCTTGCGATATTTCTTACGTTCCAGTTGAGTTTTTTCTGTATCCTTCTTGGTGTTCTGTAGGTTAAGTAGCCGAAATATGTACGTTGCATGTTGCATATGCATCCCGCGATGTACAATGCATGCCCTCTCTATGCGTGTGTGTGTGAAACGCCAGCGTCGACTGCGACTGCGACCACCGCCCTCTGCTGCCGGCCGCTAAAATGTCTGCCAACCAGTCTAACTGCTGTGTTGCCTGTTGTCTGTACGTCTCTACGATGTCTGGTTGTGCCGTACGTTATGCCGGAGTGCGTCAATGCATGTGTGTGTGTGTACGGCACGGAGTGTTCACCCTTAACATGCCCTTCCCAGGACCAGACAACGGCAACAACCACCATTCCCACTCTCTCTCACTCACTCTCTCTCTCTCTCTTGGTCCGTTCCGCAAGTGGAGAGTATAACGGGGGAAGATCGAAGAATTTTTCACATTAAATTTGTGTTGAGCGAGAGGAGCCGAGGAGGGGACTGTTAAGTATCCAAGATATTTCGGGACACTCTACTACATTCACTGTTAGCGTATATTCAAAATCATTGATTTAATGCGCATTTATGTATCTGCAAATGTATCCCTCGATATGTACACTGTACAGCAAGGGTGTTTCCCCAGTCGGGCTGATTGATTTGTGGCCAGTGTTGTGTTTGTTGTTGCCGCGTCTGCTGCAGTTTTTGCAGTCGTCCAAATAGTACAATTCTCGGCATACACATTCGAACAAATATAAGTATGTATGGATGGCACAGAGTGAGCAGGCGAACGACCGACCATCCCTTATTTTACTTCTTCCTGGCACTCTTTCTCTACACGCCATCTGCTATGTGTGTCCTGTGTGTGCGTGTATATTACTACAATCGCAGACGGACTTTTGGGCTTGCCGTTGCCGTTTGTCGATGCCGATGCCACCCACCCTTTTACCAAACAGCAACATCATCATCATCATCATCGTACGGTACGTACGGGTCCTTCCTGGCTCTCTCTCTCTCTTCTGCTTCTCTCTTTTCCTCATCCTCATCCTCGTACTGCTGCTAGTCGGCATTTGTCGTGTGTATACCGAAATTCGTAAAATTCATTTATGGCTAGGGCAGATTGTTGTTGCTGCTGTCGCTGCCTCTGCCGCTGCCGCTGCCACTACCGCTCTGCCGCTGTCGCTGCCGCGGCTTTCGCTTTGTTCCTGTTTCAGGGCGACGGCCGCCGTCGTCTTCACCTTCACTGCCGCAGCCTTTTAATTTTTTTTTTGGGGTGTTCCGCCCAATTCTAAGATGGATTTAATGCGCTTTTAATTGAGGGAATCATTGAACTCTTCTCTCGTTCGTATCCCTTGGGGTGCTCCTGTGGACAATGTGGCAGCGCGTCCCTCTGTGTCCGCCATCCGCTGGGCATCTCTTCTGTATCGTGTGGCACACGCATATTGTGCCATGTACAAACTTTTCACATCCGTGCCATGTATCCTGGATCCAGCACCCAGCACGACAGGGACAAGCCAGGGCCCAGGGCCGGGGCCAGTCTTTTGCGCAGTTTCGAATGCCCACAAAACAATGGAGAAAGGAAAGTCGTGGAAAAAAAAAACGTTCTATCGCTGAAATTTTCACCATTTCACTTGAGTTTTTCACGGATTAAGCCACTTCCTGGGCCATTTTCGTGCACACTTCTTGTACGATGCGACCTTTTCGATTTTTGGCATATTTATTTATTTATTTTATTGTTCATTTTACCGTTCGATTAGCAATAATTTATTAACCGGTTTTTCTCGTGACGTTTTCGCCTTTTTACAATCGGAACGGAACGACGGGCACCAACCATCGTAGAAATATTCAAAAGGATGGTTTCGGTTGTTTTCCACCCTCTCTCTTACTCTCTCTCTCTCTTTTTGCTCTCTCTTGGGTACATGGGAGCGCAGGGTATAATATCATTGGTGAGGGACCGCTAAGAAAGGAATAATGATAATCAGGCCATAGTTATATCGTTTCATTAGACGGATATTTATTTCCTCCTTAAAGCATACATCATTGACCGGAATCTTTATTTTTGGTAACTCAAACTAGTGGATGCACCCCATAATACATTCTACCTTGCAGCCAATCGCCTCTCTTTTGTGCATGTGTGCGAGCGTGAGTTTTTGTCACGACCTTCTCTCTCTTTCTATTCTCTCTCGGCCCTGCCTTCGTCCTTCGTGTGTAGTTTTCAATTACAACTGCTGCCCCGAAAGGGCAAAAAAGGCGCGCCCCCGCCCGCCGACCAACGAAATACACAAAATGTATTCCGTTTTTGTTTCTTCCATTTTCACTTTCGACAGAACTGCGCTGACGCATTGAGAGAAAGGGAGCTGCTGCTCTCACTCACACCAGCAGAGAGAGAGAGCGAGCGTATGGGAACTGTACAATGCCGAAGGGAAGGAGATCAATGGACAGATAGGATGCGTTCAACCTCTAGAAAGTCGCAATGGCAGATGATATTTTTTCGCTCTCTTTTTCTCTTAGACTTCGATTAGCTTTTGTTCTCTTATCAGAAGATCGGTAGTAATTAGTTTAACATTTGATAATTATGAATGAATTATGAAGTTCAGATGCAGATAGAGTAAGATCCAGTACATACCCACCTTTATTCTTGGGGAAATTCTTTCAGCTCTCACCACAGAACCACATTTAGATGATGCCATAAAAGCGTATCCCTAGTGGAACGCACACCCCACCATAATCATTGAAAATCAAATTGAATGTGTCGGGTTTCTTTATTCATTCATTCATTCTTTTACAATAAAAAAATGTTCAACAGCAAAAAATATTACACAAATTTTTCAAATGTAAATAAATTGAATAAATAAATTGTACGAATTACGCTGTGCACGGTTGAGTTCTGATTGTGATTCAGGCAGGCGATGATATCCCTAATCGATGGATGCGATGGATGTGCCTGCGCTATGGTAGAATGTGGTGCAAGGGAAGGAAAGTTGGTTCCGTTCCAGCCACATTTGGGGGCATTTAAAACAATTAACAAGATGCGGGAACCGTTTCCAGGTGAAGGTTACTCGCTGGTACGTAACTCTCTGTATTATCATTCAAAAAGGGGTGTCTTGGCAAGTTAAAACTAAAAACGAGATACATATATTGTTCCTTTTCTTTTGCTTGTTGTTGTGCTTCCTTTGTAAATGGCATCATGTTCATCCGAACACTGATGCCCAATGGATGTCATTCTTTTATACTATATATTTATAGTATTACAAGTTAAGGTGCAGTAATGCGAAAGTTTGTGTGTGAATATGAGTGTTGGGGGTATGTGGATATGCATGGTGTTGAGATACATTCATAGTACGATATACACATGGTATAAATAATGTAAAAACTGAAGTTGAAAATCGAAAGGGGTCATATTTATACTACTCTCCTACACACATACCATAAGAGTTATCATCGATGGATATATTATTAAATGTATATGTTTAACATGAGCTTAACACGTATTGCAACAGGGCCAGAGTTTTCCAAAAGTGCTAAAAATAAATTTGTAATTTCATCAGCATTTGGGATCCACTACGATGCGATATACGATACGATACGTTAATGATTCCGTGAGTCTTAGCGGCTAGGGGGACTGTAAAATGTTGGTTGTGGTGCTGTTGAGGGGTTTTGGGGGACAAACTAACCAATGCATTGTATGTATTTATGTGGGCGTGTGGGTGGTGTTTGAGGGGGGTGGGGGGATTCATTATAATTACATTAACGATATTAAATGGTATAATAAATAACTATAATTAGCATACAATACATAGATCCCTCTCTATATATATGTAAATGGTATTGTATGTTGGATGTTGTGTGTCTCTCTCTATGTTTAAATGTTTAATCAAATGCATACTCCGGGAAGATCCCTCCTTCTACTATATATCCCTACTCTATGTCTGGGGATAAAAGCCTAACTATATTCCGCTGCTGCTGCTGCTGCTGCTGCTGCTGCTGGTGATTAGCGACTGTCATTCGGCATTTTTGATCTCTGAGTTGAGATTGCGGCAGGCTTCACGCTCCCTTTCGCGTTCCCTTTCCCGCTCGCGCTGCTCCTCCTCGAGCTTGAGGACCTTGCTCTTGAGACCACACAGTATCTCGGCAGTGGCTATGTTCTTGATGGTGCTCAGATCCAAATGTTGGCTGTGATTGTTGTTGTTGTTGTCATCGTTGTCGTGCTCCCCATGGCTGTTGCTGTTGTTCTTGTGATGTTCCGCCTCCTGCTCCTCGGCATGTTGCTGCTGCTGCTGCTCCAGTTCCAGGCTCCGATTGATCGCACTGAGCAGCTTGTGCTTACCCAAAGCCAAAGCTATGCCATTGTTGTTGTTGCTGTTGTTGCTCCCTGTGTCGCCACATTGCTTGCTGCTGTTGTTGTTCGAATCCGTTTCCATGTTCATTGCCCGACTGTTGTTGTTGTCGTCGTACTTGCGCTCATAGCCGGAGAGCTCCTCGTCATGGCCATTGTTCTGATTGCTGGCCTCGCCGGATAGGTCGTGCTCCACTTCGCGTTTTATCAGCTGTATGTCCGGCGTGGGCGTCTGCCTGGGCGTGGGCGTCGGCGTGGGTGTGGGCGTTGAGCGTGTTGGGGTTTGTGGGCGGGCCCGGCTGCCATTTGCATTCGGGATTTGTACGAGATTCAAGGCTTCCTCATCATCATCATCATCATTGTTATCATTGTGGCAGTTTCTGTTGTTGTTGTTGCCACTGCCACTGCCACTGCTTTCGTTGTTGTTGTTGTTGCTGCTGTTGCCACTGTTGGTCAGATGATGACTCTCCACGAGGCGTATCTTGAAGCTATTGTTGTGCGTCGCTGGCGGCGGTGTCTGTGGCACAATTGTCGTTATGGGCTCCATAATGTTGACGCTATCCTGTCCATGGGCGTGGCTGTGGTTATTATTGAGCGCATCGTCATGCTGCTCGGCACTCGGATAACGCTCTCGCTCCCGTTCCATCTCCTTCAGCCGCTTCTCCCCGCCCACCTCCGTGTTGTAGTGCATCAGAATCTTGCGCTTGGCCAGATATTTGTGCTGCTTGCGGGCCGAGTCCAGCATCTTCTTGCTGTTCGCCTGCAGGATGGCAAAGGAGTTGCTCTCGGACTCTGCCAGATTGATGTTGCCGCCGTTGCTGTTGTAGTTGCTGCTGCTGCTGCTGTTGTTGTTGTTGCGATTGAGATTCTTGATGAAGGTCTCCGCCAGCGTTGCCTTCGACTTGATGTGATCCCGGAAGCCGGCATAGCTGGCTCCTCCACCACCACCGCTGGACAGGGGTGTGGGGCAACGGTTGGGGCCATTGAGGGACGGTGAAGGCGAGGACTGATGCGCCTGCGGCTGTCCGGCATAGCCAGCGGCATGTCCGCTGGTTATATTGACGCTGTGTGTGCCCCGTTCGTAGCGGCACTCGGTGCCGTCGCTCTCATGCGGCGAACTAATGTCACTGGCATCGCTGTCCAGGTTTTTCTGCAAGTGAAAGTTTTCCATTTGCGTTTAGATGGCAGCGTGGATAATGGCAGAGAGATCCCAGACCCCAGACCCCAGACCCCAAGACTTCAGACCCCATACCTACCTCTGTGTGCAGCCCCTTGATCTTCATGGCCTCGGCCACCTTGAGGAACACTGGGAGATCCTCGTATTTGACATTCACCTGGCCGCTGTACATAAAGTCGAGCAGGCCGGCCATGTGACTGGCCTCCACGTCGGCCATCAGCAGAATGGGATGACTCGATGGATTCTCCAGAAAGATTTGCTGAAAGTACGGACTGCAAACGGACAAAACCTGCAACGAAAAGAGAACGAGAGAAGCGGGAGAGAAAGGAGAGAAAGGACATTGTGTGAGTGCGGGAGTTCTTGGGTGTGTGCCGCCTGTTTACCAATTTGTGGGCCTTGAATATCTTGCCGCCGGCTGCAATGGTCACGTCCACCATTTTCTCGTCCTTCTGCAGGGAGTGGAAGCCGCGGCACATGTTGCCGTGGAAGTTGTTCCACGACAGCAGATACTGGTCGATGGTGTTGGGATCTGTGTACGGCTGCTGCTGCTGCTGTTGCTTGTGCGTCTGCTGGTGCTGCTGCTGCTGCTGCTGGTGGAGCTGCTGCTGTGCTGCCTGATGCTGTGTGGCCGTGATGTGGATCTGCTGCGCCGTGGTGGGCGGCGAGCTGGGACGCGGCGTGGGCGGTTGATGGGGATGAGCGAGCTGATGGTGATGCTGCTGCTGCTGCTGCTGTTGCTGTTGCTGCTGCTGATGTTGTTGCTGCTGCTGCTGCAGCTGGTGCTGCAGATGTTGCTGCTGTTGTTGCAGCAAGTGCTGCTGCTGCTGTTGCAGGGCGTGCTGCAGACCCGGTGGCGTCGACGAGGACGACATGCGATGTGGATGCGGCGACAGGGCCGGCTGGTGGCTCATGAATCGCTGCTGCTGCTGCTGCTGTGCCTGCTGCTGGGCCTGATGATGTTGCTGCTGTGCCTGCTGCTGCTGTTGCTGCTGCTGGCGTGCATGCTGCTTGATCTTGACCATGTTCTCCTGCTGCTCCTGCTCGCGCTGTCGCATCAGCTCCTGCTTGATCTTGTACTGCTGCATGGACAGATCGTCCACGCTCTTGGACAGCTTCACCATCTCGCTGTTGCTGTTGAACTTGCTGTTGGGCAGCATCGGCTTCAGCTCGTATTTGTAATCCCCAGCGGCTCCGCTGGCAGCTGCCGCCAGCTTCCGCTCGGCAGCCTGTGCGGCGCGCTCCTTCTGCCGCCGGATCAGCTCATCGATGTCCATGTAGGCGCCGCTGGTGGCTGCGGCAATGGCCGAGGCGATAATTGGATCATCCTCAAAGACGCTGTCGTCGAGGGTCTCCTTCAATGTCTTCGTGGACGAGAAGAGACGCAGCGAGGGATCGTTGACCTGGTCGCTGAAGTAAACATCCATCAGGGTGAAGAAGGGCCACTCCCGTCGCTTGGGCTCCTCCGACATTTTGATTGCCTTGTACTCCTGCAGGAGATTGTTCCATTTCTTGATGATCTTCGACAGTGGTAGCGGCACATTGAGTTCCCGTTCCACCACGCTGAAGATTAGAGGAAATGGAGAGTGAATTATACCGTTATACCGTGGTTATGCAATCAGATACGTATCTGATGGATTGCGTTGTCTGTTGTTTGTCTACTTACGCCCAAGCATATTTGGAGGCATTTCGCTTGCCCGTAAACAGGGGCGACAGCTCCGCCCGTAATCTGATCAAAGATTTGACTTTTTCTGCTTCCCCTGCAAGTAAAGAGAATCGAAATACAAATCAGAAATTGGTCTACAGAAATTGTATAAGAATAGTGGAAAATGAGCCTTGGCCATGGACGGGGCACAGGGATATCAGGGTGCAATGATCTCGCAGAGGCTGCTGCAACTTTCCACCTGCTGCCAAATGCAATTCAAGTTTAGGCCGCTTAAGACCTCTTGGCCATATAACAGCAGCGGCAACAAATTATAGAAATCAGCAGCAGCAGCAGCAGCAAGGTTTCAATGAACCCGCGAGAGTGCAGTCCAAAGTCGGCAATCGGAATCGGATGGGGTGGAGTGGAGTGGAGTCGGGTGGGGGGATAATCACACAGCATGGCAATCGTCTGACAGCGGATCGATGGACGGTGGGCCTGTTTTGGCCCGTACCCCATACCCGTATGACTGCCCGTTCGTATGGCTAATTGCTATAACGTATCTATCAACTTTTACCCAAAAGACCAAAAATCGTAACTGAAACTGAAAATGTAGCCAAAAGTAAAGCCTAAAACCAGCAGCAGCAGCAGCAGCAGCAACCAGGCTCTTGACTCGCTCATCCATCTGCAATTGGAGATGAGCATGGCACTGGCTCCAGGGGAAGCCTCCACCAGGTTACATGGCTTATAATCCATACATACATATGTACATATGTATATATGTACATGCTTGCCAACAACAACAATGTCCATAATGACTGAAAACTATTCAACGTTGAAGAATTCATTAGCAGATTTCACTTTCGCTCATGACGACGACGACGACGACTCGACTCTGGCAACGACGACGTTCGCTTATTCCACTCTTCGCCCCGTCTTTCTTTCTTTCTTTATGTATTTACCGTAATTTCTAGTCGTTCACTTTTTCGTTTCCACTCGTCTCTGGCTCGGTGCTTTCGGTGCCTCTCTTGGTATTTCTTGTTCACGTTTCTTGTTTTTTGTGTGGCTGGCTGCACTGCATCGTCCAAGAAGTCGCACAAGCGCCTTGCCTGCTGCTACCTTGCCTCGTTGTGCCTTCAATGTGAAGATGTGGAGAGAAAATTGTCTAAAGTCGAAGCCGGATCTACGAGTGAACAAGAGCCCCAGCCACACACCGAAAGGCGGCACTGCTTTGATTTGATTTGATTTGATTTTCCCTTGTTGCCCACAGACAAAACTATAAAAACATTTTTGGTCATTTCAGATTCTATAGACAGTTCGAAAATGAACAGAGCAGAGCTAAAGAATGCTGCCAAGAGATGCCATCGATGGTGGGGGTACTTTCTAAATTTTGGAGAAATATGCACTGCCCCCTGCCCCTGGGTCATTTGGTTGGGGCTAAGACTTGATTCGTCACTTGCCTGCGGATCTGTCTGGGTTGATGTCAAGGCAAGGGCCTTACCTTAGACTTAGATTGACATCAATCTTTTGGATGGTTGAGCAATTCCCAAGCCCCCATTCGATTCGTTTAACAGTCTTATAACCTAGCCCAACCCAAAAAAAGAGCGATGCGATCGTTAACAGTAAGAAAACGAAAAGCATAACAAGCCAAAGCAAAGCCAACAACAAAAAATATTCGCAGGCAAAGCCAAAAGCAGGCAATCAACAACAACGTTTGGCTTGCCAAAAACAACCTCAACCTTCTGCGTTTGCTCTCTACGCGCGCGCGCTCGCTCGCATTGATCGTGACATGCTCAGGTTCCAAGTTCCACGCTCCCCGTTACCGTTCCCCTTCCAATCACACACAGAGCCATAACTTGGGAGCGGAGATCATTCGTTGGCGAGGGGCAAGGGGCGAGGAGGAACGGTGGAGTGGTGGAGCGCTCACGAAAAGTTTCACTTTCTTTGCAACAAGTTTTGTGCGTACCCATACCAACACTCACATACACGATCACATGTATGCGTGCGTGAGTGAGTGAGTGGTTGGGTTGGTTGCTTTGCCTTCTCTTCTCGCTTCTTTCGGTTTCTACTTTCCGTTTGCGCCCTTTTATGTAACCCAAATCCCCGATAGCAGCCGCAGCAGCAGCAGCAGCGGCAGCGCCAGCTCTTGCTGTGATGCTGCCACTGCTTTGCTTCTTTTGCAGACAACAGACAACCCAATAGGTCTGTCTTGTCTCTGAGCTACAGCAGAAGAAACAACGTTTACCGTTAGTTTCTCTTTTGGCCTATATTTGGACGAAGCGAAGCCACACAGTCACCGTCTCTGCCGCAGTCGCAGTCGACGAAGCAGTCGCTGCAAGCAGTCGTCAGAGAAGTAACAAGCAGTTGAATGCTTGCTGTTGTTGTTGCTGCTGTCTGCTTGCATGCTGATGGGATTCTTTATCTGCCGCTGCATCTATCTGCCTCTGTCTCTCCCTCTCCTTCTCTTTCCATTTCTATTTTACAGTGTCTGTTGTGTGCTCTGTGTCCACTTCCGTTTTTGGAGGAGCCAGAGCACTTTCGTGCAACGAGAACCGGTTCTACTTTTACGCCACAGCACTGCTTGCTCCCAACGCACACAATTCTACGCTTTTTGGGGATCTTTATGAACACATCGCCCACATACTGATTCGTAGAAGGAAGGTTTTTTTGGCAGAGGGTTTCATACTTTTTCTTGGGATCTTCAGACACAATTCTGAGTCAACGTTTTGCCTTGACAACTCTAGAATTTCATGTATTATTGTCATTGGAGGACGATAACTGCTTAGAATGTCTGTTAGCTGCTGGCGTATGGCCGCTTGGTTGCTTATTTATTTGGTTATTGGCTGTGGATAGTTGGTAAGCTTCTTTGGGGCCCGGTTTCCATTGTGCTGGCTCTGACTATCTGTTGCGGTTCGTTTCGTTTCGCTTGCTTTCTTTTTGCCACGCTTATTTGGCTTCTTGCACTTTTCTTTTTCTTTCACTGAGGCACAGGCTGAGGCACAGACTGAGGCACAGACTGAGGCCCAGGCCCCTGCTCGTGGCTCTTATAGAAACGAAAACTTGTGAAGGCGATACGATACGATGGCAAGTTTTCTTCTTTCTTCTTGCTTAATTCTTTGTTTGTTTGATTAAACGTGGAATTGTTAACCGTGACGTTTCGTTTTTTGCTTTGCTTTGCTTCTTTTCTTTTGCTTTTGCATCTCTCTTCTTTTGCGTGAGAATTTCTAATTGGGTCAGGATTTGTGTGGGTTTCTTCTTGGTTCTTGGTCTCTCTCTTTCTTCTTAGAGCTGCCTGCCTGCATGGCACACAACGTTGCAGGCTCTGGAAATTAATGAAGCATTTGACGTGCCCTACTCTCGATCAGCGATCTGCGATCAGCGGGTACTGAAAGTGATTGGGGGGCAGCTTTAATGCTTCACAAGAAGCTGTCTTGGTATTCGACTCGAGATTGGGATTGAGATATGGGCCATTGGGCGACATTGATGGATGGCAGACAGTTCTATCGCTTTCCCGATTGTATGCCTTTGAAAATTAACCCTGAACTTCGGCGCACTGCTTGAAATTTTTAAACTCAAATCCAAAAAGGAACGCAAGAATTCCTATAGATATGGGTTTGGGTATGGGCATGGGGGAGAGGCACCAACTTTGGGCATGAATATGGTAACCCGATCTCCATGCCAAATCCAAAGAAACTCAAGCATGAGGCGAACGGCGGCTTTCCCAGCTCAGTTTTCTTTTACTGCTGCTGCTGTTGCATTTCCTTTTCCTTTGGCTTCGACTTTGCTTCGAAGTTTTCACCAGCAAAAGCAGCAACAGCAGCATTGAAAATGCGCATACGCCCCATATGCCAGCACCAGCTCTCAGCTCTCAGGCTGCACTCACCATGCAAGTCATCGACCAGGCACAGGCACAGGCAGCCAACGGCAACGGCAAACCGAGGCGAGTGCCATTTAATTCTTGGCTTTTACTTTCTCCCAAATGATGCACAAATGAGTCTGGAGTGGAAGCAAAGCGAAACGGCAAAAGCAAACACTCGACTCGTACCCGTACCGCGTACTCCTATTTGTTATGATTTTTTCCAAAGAAAACAATCTAGAAGAAAGTCAGAGCAGAGCAGAGCAGAGTGGAGCCAGCCACAAAAGACAAAAGTCAAAAGTTGCTAATAGGCTTGGAAAATCGGGGGGAAAAACACCGCTGCCAAAGCTGGAAAATAGATGATATAAAAACCAAACCGAACGAAAACTGTGAAGCGATGGAGCGTTGGCTTAGAGCGGAGCGGAGTAACTTGTTGTTGGGGAATTTTCTTGCAGCCAGGCGGACTTTTCTCTTTGTGTTGTGGCTGTTGCTGTGGCTGCTGTTGCTTTTCCATTGCAGTTGCTGTGGCAGTTGAATGTACGCTAAGCGACTGTGGAAATTCCGCACCACATATAATCATGACCAGCAACGTCATGATCATCATTATCAACATCATCATAACGAGCCTGGCAATCATCGTCATTATCATGGACATCGCATCGTCAGAAGTAATTTAGGAAAAACTATTTTCTTCGTGTGTTTTTTTTTTATTTTTCTGCATTTTCTCTCTCTGGCAAGTTTTATGCTGCTTTTCCGCTGCTGCTGCTGCTGCTTTTGGCTTTGGGAAACATTTTCGTTGAACTTTTCATGCATGCATTCGCTACTTGGGGGGGAAGTTAGCAGCAGGCTCTCCCCTCCCGAAATATTGTGTGCCCGCTGTTATTGTGATAATCTCATTGTTTGGCGAGAAGGTTTTTTGAACTTTTACCAAACAGATTTTCCCTTTCCTTTCCTTCGTGTGTGTGTGCTGCCTCTCGTTTGTCATGCTGCATGCTGCATGCTGCATATTTTTGCCACAAAGTCTCAGAGTATTTTTTTTGAAAGTGCAACAATGAGGCGGGGCACACAATTTACCATGCAACAATATTCAACATTTGTCTGTTTGCATTTTCTAATTGCGATGCAAATGTAGAGAAATATCTAACCCTGCTCGAGGCAAAGGAAAATTCACTTTTAATTTCAGTGGCTCCTCCCACTCTCCCATTGATTATTCTTATCATGTATTGGCACAGAGCTCTAGCTAACTGTAAACGATCAGCATAAAGTACGAGCATACCCGATGCACGCGCTCGGCTTTCCGTTCGGCTTCGTCTTCGGGTTTCGGTCGTTCGAAAACTTTCACTTTGCGCCCGCCGCGTCAGAAGCAAAAGCAGCAAAAGCAACAGCAAATAAAAGCCAACCCAAAGCTCTAATGTTAATGTAAATAGCGGTAAGAGCCGCCAAGACCCGTACACCCATACACACACACACACACACACAGGCACACGCATAGACATTACGTGCTTCAGATCTATCAGCGACCAGAGTTACTCCTCACCCCGCCCCTCCCCGCCTTTTGAAACAAAAGAAAAGAAAAAAGAAACCCCAAAAGATATGCCAAATCATTTACTTAATACAAAAAAAGTATCTTTTGTTGCTCCAACTTCAAGATAACTTGTCCAAGAGAGAAATATATCTACAACAACAATAAAAACCAAATTAAAATTGCGGCATCTTGCATAAAACAACAACAACAAGCAACTTAACCTTCCCCACACGAAATACACCAAAAATAAAATAAAATAAAAAATCAAATGGTTTTTTTGTTTGTTTCTTGAACATTTTGCGCCCTCGCCTAAGACAATTATCCATCCACTCGATATGAGATGACTTGTGCTTAAATCATGGGGATAGTCGTGTGTGTAGCTACGAAATTAGTTTGGTAACTTTCTAACCCCCCACCACTGTTACTCATCTGTGGCTGTCCCAATCGAATCACTCAGCATCTCTTCAATTTGTGGGTCACTCCTTTTTTTGCCTATTATTCAATTCCATGCTGCCTGCTGCCTGCTCCCTGCTACTGCGGGGCACTCTTCCGCTCTTAGGGGAAGCAGCAAAACCTAAAGTGAAAGTTCTAATAAAACGAGCAGCCGGGAACGAGCAGCAAACTTCAAACAATCAAAATGTATGCAACAGAGCGCAGAGGTGTTACAAGGGGAGCAGCGGCAGTGGCCACTGTTGTGGTAGTCCGTCGTAGATTGTGTGCAGAAAGAAAGGCAACAGCAAATGGCAAAAGAAACTGATGAATGGAGGATGTAAAAATAAAATTAAGCATTTCTTTTTCTTGGTCTCTCTGTTCGTGAAAGATACAAATGGCTCATTTATATTTCTCTTTTTGTTTGCGCGAACAATAACGTCTGCGATTCTTTCTGTATCTTTCTACCACTCGTTTCCTTTGGGTAATTTCGAATTAATTGCAAAGCTGAAGCAGAGTGAAATGTAACCATGAATCGATCAATCTAGAGGGCTTTGTGTGTGAGCTTCAGCTTAAGTACTTTGCTTCGGTTGCCAAGCGCTGGAAAGTCTTTCCCCTCTAGAGTGTTGATTGCATAAAACATAATTTACTCTGCGGCAACTCCGCGCTTCTCGCACGTTTCAGCGGCCAATTAAACTTCAGCACTAACCCAAAAACGCAAACATTATAAAAGAATTTATAATAAGCAAAGTTGCATAATGGAGCAGGAGGAGGAGGAGGGTAGAGCCAGGGACTAGGAAGCAAACTGCTAAACTTGGAATAAGAAAACTCACGCAACGCAGCTGGCAAGGGGGGAGTAGGTGATATAATCGCATAGATGCTACAAGTGGCTAATGACATTGGGCAGCGCAGAGATCTCAGATCTGAGATCGGCTGCTTGCGGTAACTTTCCCAAAAATATTTCAAGACGAATGACAAGGTACAAGATACAGGCAGACCAACGTCTGTCCGATATTGCATAATGCCGAATACGAAAATAGAAAACCGAAAAACAGAAACAAGAAACATCGACAACAATCGAAATAGGAAAAAATAAAAATAAAAAAAAGATACAGCGGGGGGAAATAACACTGAAGAAATTGATGTATGTCCGTCTGTTGGTAATATCATTTGTAGCGGTTTATCAGCCAACGGTATTAATGGGGCAACCTCCACTCCACTTCACGCCACACACGACTCCACTCCACTTCACACCACACCACACCACACTCCACTCCCTCCCCCCTGCGATACTTGGCCAACGCCAACATTTAAACTATTTTCTTGTTATGTGAATTTTTGGCAAACGAAATTTGGCCAACAGAAAACCCGATGAGTCATTCTAGATAATTGTGCGGGTTTTATTTTTTGTCGATAAGCAATAAGTAAAATTGAAAACGAACAAGAAACAGAAACCAAATCGAAACGAAACGAGACAACATGGCGCATACGCAACATGGGCCAGCAGAGAGTTTGCTTTCGGCTTCGAGAGAGATCCACACGCGTCGCTTCGGGTTTCGTCTCCCAGGAATCTGTTGCAATCCACATCGCCTCTCGGTCTTTCGCTGTCTGCTGGCTGGGACATTGAACTCGAAAACAGCATAAAGTTTGTAAACAAAACTCGATTATGCAAGAGGCCTTAATTATAATGGAAATGGAAATGGAAATGCCAAAAACAACGAACGACAAACAGAGAAGCAGCAGTTGCAGTTGCCTGAGCTGTTACTTTGACTCTGACTCTGAAGCTGACTCTGAGACGACTCTGACTGGCTGACTCTGACTGGCTGACTCTGACGGCTTATGTTGCTTCGAAAACCAAAGCTGAAGGCTAAGCGTGTTGAGAATTGGCAAGGGATACGGAGACACTGCCACGCCACTCATTTCGGCTTAGCCATCAGACATCAAAATCCATTTGCATGGCCATGAAAAGTGCTACGAAAAACTGGGTCAACTTTTGACAGGACACCTCCAGAGAGCGGATAGAGAGGAGAGTGGCAAATCGACTTTTAATAGCCACAGAAGAGAAATTAATGAACGGCGCACAAAGGAAACATAAATTCTGCAGCTGGAAAGGGACTCACAGAAGCAGAGTGAGGCAGCGTCGGCTTTGGCGAGCAAGCAAGAAAGAAAAAGAAAGAAAAAAAAACGAAGAAACGAAGCAACAACTTTCACCTATTAATATTCGTGTCGTACAAACGGCAGAAGCCAGAGAAGCCACAAGTCAGGCAAAGAGAAAGAGACAGGGAGACAGCACTGTAGAAGCAGCAGCAGCAGAAGAAACGAAACGACTGCCCGCTGCTGCTGCTGCTGCTGCTGCTGCTGCTAGTCACTGGCGATGCTCGACAAAAGCCACATCGCATCGCATCGCATTGGATAGCCCGCTTGGGAGACTGCGACTTCAGACTGAGACTCCAAACTGGCTGCAAGCAGCCAGCAGCCAGCACCAACTCCAACCTCGACTCGCAACTTCGATGCCGCCTGCCACTGGATGAGCTTGAGCGGCTCGGGCTACCCCTTCCGCTGGCATATAAAACTTTCTATAAAAAAGTTGTTTTTGCTTTTTGTTTTGTAAATTTCTTTCTTGCTCTGCAGGTTGGTACGAGCCCAGCTCGCAGCTCGCAGCTTGTTTGTTTGTTGCTTTCGCTGTGCATTCTGCGGCGCAGACTTGCAAGAGGGCAAAGGGTTAGGGGGCAACTAATCAAGCGAACCCCATTAACCTGACATAGGTGTGGGTGATGAGAGTTAAAGAACAAGTTTTTGGTAGAAGTTAGAAGATGGTTAAGTAGGACCCAATCCCAGTCCCCAAAATCTGTGCAACTTACAACAATATCTCGTGGAGTATTGGCAATTAGCATTGACTGTTGGTGTCATAATCTCGTTGGCAGCCATATCCAATTTCAATTTGCCACAGTTCCTCGTTGTTAGTCCAAATCCTTGCTGGCTGATTGGCCTTGTGCTTCTGCTGCTGCTGCTGCTGCTGCTGCTGCTGTTGTTAATCCAAAAGTGAGACGTTTCTTGCTTGATTTATTTCTTGATAGTTTTCTCTTGCTGGGCTTATTTGGTTGTTATTTGCCTGGCTGTTGTCATTGTACGTTGCGGTGTGGGCAATTTGTATATATATTTTATTTATAATTCAAGTGGCACTCACGCACACGCAGCCCCCCGAAAAATCACTTTCACTTTTCCGTTTTGATATGCGGAGAACACAAGACGCGACGACAACGGATCGATCGCTCAGGTCAATAAAAAACTGTTGTGTGTTGGGTTTGATGTTTAGTATGGGTTGTGGGGGGGAAGTTGAACTTATTAGAAAGCCTAAAGTCCATCCGCAAAGTCAAGAGGAGTCAACATTTTGATGGCATTTCGTTATGCTGCATGTTGCATGCAGATCTTTGATGTATAAACTCGGATTTTGTTCGCACTGTAGGGAGCACACACTGAAATTTCTGATGAAATTTTTGTATATTTTTTGGGGTCCGCTTGTTGGGTTGATGTTCACTGCGCAGACGCGACGTTACTGAGTCGGCGGACTTTCTACGAGTGCGCTGGCGCTGTCTGTTGCTGTGTGTGCAGAGTTGTAGATTCTTCCACGCAGAGAGATGTTTGTTGAATATGTTTGCTTGCAGGCTGGCCAGTGTGTCGCTTTTGAAGAGATTCTTGCGCGCCGAACGTTTTGAACGTAACGTCTGCCTCGAACCACTGTCGACGTCTGTGCGGCGGCGCACAGTGAAACCAGCGCTTATCCTCAAAGATCGACTAAGAAATTTCATGCCCCATTCCATTTCGTTTCTCGCAGCGACGCTTTCGCTTACCACAAACACATGGACACACTTGTATGTGTTCTGTGCGCTGCTAAGCTTCGGTTCGGTCTGTGCTTTTACCATTTCTTTCTCTCTCCATCTTCACAGCACGAACCGAACGGAGCTCGCTCGCTCGCTCGCTCGCTCGGGCGCTCTTCTACAAGTTTGGTTCTTCGTTAAAGTCTTTTGTTTTGATTTGCAGTTTGCCTGCCATGTGCTTCGCGCTTCGAGTAAGAGTTTCGCCTTGGGAGCCAGCACACACACACACACACACGCACACTAATTATTTACAGTTTCAATTCCGAAACGTTCCACGGCAACTTTTATAACTTTAACTTTCATCGCATCACGGCGCTCGCTCGCTGCCGCTTCTAAGCTTTTCGGCTGCTTCTCTTTTGCTTCTTTCCTTTTCCTCTCCTCTCCTTTCATTTCGCTTCCCTTCCCCTGCCTTGCTTTCCTATACATTTTGTGCTTGTGCAAATTACAACTTTCGTCTATTTTTGTCAAGATTTTTTTGATAATTATATAATTTAAAACATATTTTTTGGTCGGCTTTTGGGTTTGGCCTTTGTTTCGCCGTGCAACTTGTGCGAGCCCGAGCTGGAGCCAGACACAATTTGTATTTCTGTTCGCTTTGCCTTTCCAACCAATTCCCATTGTGTTGCTTCAGTTTTTACTTTTCTTTGTGGCTAATTACGCACAAGGAGAGTGAAACTCCATTAGATTCTTAATTATACTTTAATTGCCCCCCGCAAAACAACAACAACAACTGCCATATAATATGTATGAAGATGGAGCTGGAGCTGAAATTATCTTTCAGTATCTTGGAAGTAGTCTGGAGTTGCATTTGGAAATCTTTCACTGCTGCATTTAGTAGCTTTTGTTGCTGCTGCATGCTCAGTGAGCGTTGCAAGCTCTGACTTCAGTCCAGGCTCCATTTTAAGTATCTTGCTCGATGTTTTTGGGCGCTCTCTGTGCACTTACAGTTGTTTCGTTTGTCTTAGCTGCTGCTTCTCCACCTCTTGCTGCTGCCTGCTGCGGATGCTTGCAGTTGTATTTGTAGTTGTACAAAAACTTTCTAATGTAGAAGATGTCTGCTATACCGCGTACATTTTCCCTGCCGCTACTCCATTGTGCCGCGATTGAATTGCCTTTTGCTCGCTCACACGCAGTAGTTCGAATCTCTGGGTAGGCCTCTGTTTATTCTGCTTTTTCTTTTTCTTTATTTTTCTCTTTCTTTTTGGAGTTTTCTCACAGCTTGAGAAATTGTCCAAGAATTGTCGAAGGCTGGTTGTAAGGTCTGTAAGAGCGCTACCAATGCGATTCCAAATTCTATGGGCTCCATCGATTGATGGTAATTCTGTCAGGTGGGGTGAAAGTTGTAGAGGACTGGGACTGTTACACATGGAGATGTAAGTCAGCTTCATTACGTGCAACTAAGAATGATGCAGGCAGAGAGTTTTGACATAAATGCTTAGGAAATACATATCTCTCATGGGATGTGTCACAATCAAAGACATCGGCAGACTTTCCATCCATCTAATAGGCCCAAAAACCAAAAAAAATGTTGTATTTAGATGCTAATATGAAACGGAATATTTTTTTCTTTTGTTTCTCTCATCGAGAAAACGAAAACTCATTTGGGCCTTTGATTTGCCAGCAACAATGAAGGAGCTAATATATTTAATTGGAAGCCCGGTTCGTTATATAAACCTGAGTAGAGCAGAGCCAGAACCAGCAAAAGAAAACTCTCAACAAAGATACAGAGATGTATCTGTGTCTGTATCGTGGGGCCAAATGATTAATGCAGCCAAAAGCCGAGACCTACAAAGCCACCAATCGTATTTTCACTTTTTAATAATTAACATAAAATTATGAACAAGACGAAGAAGATGGAGCAGAAGACGCAAAACGCCCGAAGAACTAAAAAAAAAGATGAAAACGATGCCAGCGAGCATTGGAGGCACCCCAAAAAGACAGTCGGACGAACGACAAGAATAAGCCATGAAAGTTGTAAATTCTTAAAGAAAAAGGAGAGAAGAGATCTCTCTCTGTGCGTGTGATTTCATAAAGTCTCGTAAAGAACCAGCACATGACTAAGCCAGCCGAGAAGACTAAATACAGTCGAACATTAAGCCCCGGCCAGAAGAAGAATTTTAAGTGAAATGAGGATATTTTTTTTGGAACAAAAGTTTTTCCCGAAAGCGGCCATCGTGGGCCAACTGACCCAATTACCCATTTAAGCCCAAACGAAATAACCAAAAAGAATGAGAAGAGATGGTTGCAGATGGAGTGGGAGTATGCACAAGACGAGCAAGTAACAGTTATGTGACGGGCAGACAATCGAAAGTTTATGTCATTCTGCCGACAGCAACTTAGGAGCGGCAAGCAGTGGTAAGCAGTGGAAACGGTAATAAAGAAGCCAAATGCAGCCTAAAGGAACGGCAAACAGTGGAAAGCCGTGCAAGTGGGAGTAATGTCGATTGATGGAGCCTGAAGATACGGCAAGCAGTGGAAAGCAGTGTTAGTGGGAGACATGAAGACTGATACAGCCTGAAGATAAATTTAAGACAAATCCGACAGGAGTGAAGAAGCAGCTCTTGCTGGCTGGTTAGTTCTTTTGGGCACCCAAAGGGTTTGTTCAAAGCATCTGAAAGTAAGTGCTACACCAGACAGTTGTGTGAGATCTGCCTTTCTGTTTGTAATCTCTCCCCTCCTGCCATCCAGCCACAAGCGAGTGAAATATAAAACAATTTTTCGAAAGTCATGGCAACGAAAATAAATGATTCTTGCGCGGAATGGAGTATCTTTTCATAGGCCTACCAGTGGCAGTACCAGCCAGCCAGCCAGCCAGCCAGCACGAACAATTGAGAGCAACAAAGCCTCAAGAAAAGAAAAAGTAACTTCACACCAACAGACCAAACACACACACACACACACACAAACACAGCAATAAGCAGCGTCCGTTGCTGACCAGCCAAAATCGAAAAAGATACACGAAAAGAGAAACAGAAAATAAAATAATAAAATCGAAACATGAAACATTCTGATTGTATGGAGAGCCCCCCATGGAAGTAGGTCAAGCAGCGCAGTTGCCGTCACCGTCACCGTCTCTGTCTCTGTCGCTGCTGCCTCTACTGCTTGGCTCCGTCATCGCCAACGCGCTCTTGGACTTGGCTTTGGCTTTGCCTTTGCCTGTGGCTTTGACGTTCGCTCTGGCTGGCAGTGGGTCTCGGTCTTGGTCTTGCTCTTGCTCTTGCTCTTGGAACTTCGGGGAGCCCACACAGACACAAGCAGAACAAAAATAAACACAAACACAAACACAAACACAGGCACAGAGACGAGGCACAGAAGAGACCGCTGACGGAATACTTAAGCATCCGCGTCCACTTGCACTTTCTTTTTCAAGCTCTGCCTGCTTTTGCTGTGGGTTTTTGCTTTTCTCATTCTACTTCTGCTTCTGTTGCTGCTTTTCCAGTTCCCACTGACAGTCCCCAGTCCCATGGCTCGAGTTCGTGCCTGAAGTCTTTCGCTTTAGCTCTGCAGCACGTTTGCTTCGTTCGGTTGGTTGGCTTTCGCTTTGCTTTGCTTGGTGCTCTTTCCCCCGCACTTTGATGGTGGAGGTGCTGCTGTTGGGACTGCGGCTGTCAGCAAACATGTTCTGCCAAGCATTTGGAGGCTCGTGCTTGGCCATCTATTAGATTAGACTTAGATTGTCCAGCCGTTATTTGACTATTATTTATCGATTAGGCTGGACAGTCAGACAACACTTTATCCACGGGACAAACAATGAACAGAAATGGGAGAATCTTTGCGAGCATTGGCTAAAACACTTTCTTTTTAGAATTACCACACTCCGAGTAAATCTATTCGACATGACTGATTCGTATTTATTTTTCGTTACTGGATATCATTGGGTTTGTTTGTGCAGACATTCAGCATGAATCTCCCCAGTTCCACGGATGCTGCTTGTTGTCATCCAGTGCCATTTTAACAGACCCAAATGCTAAAGCGCGGATGTGCACTCAATAGGCGCCCCTTTGACTGGGGCGACCAACAACATTTGGTCAAACTGGCGCCAGCTTATAAAATTTCCATCGAAGTTCCAAAAATTGCCGTAAAGGTTCCTGTAATTCCGGAATAATACAACCGGAAAAGCCAAGCATCGCAGGACTACCGCTAGAGGGCTACACTTATCCATAATGGAAGTATAATATCAGTTACCATATTAACGCATATATGGCATATACATATTCCACTGTGTCACGGTCCAAGACTAAAAACTCAATTTTTCTCTACACTTTTCATAAATTTGAATTAATATTTATTATTTTATTTCATATGTGGTAATTAGTTTGTGAAAGAGGTAAAGCGCCAGCAAGCGTCTTTTTCTTTCAATTACTCAAATTGATCAAAATGTTATAAATAATCACGCCAGGTGCCGCTCCTTCCTGATATCGAAATAGCTTATAGAGCCTATACTAATACTGGGCCATTGCCCATCGAATAATTATTCGAAAAATCGATAGATTTCGAAGCGTTGGTATACTGACAACAGCTCACCGCTTCGGCATTCAAGATGACCTGCCACACCGGGAAAAAAAGATGTCTGGCAGCTTCCTGTTCGTGCCAGTGCTGCCACTCTATCGTTGTCTGTCAGCCGATATTTTCCCAGCTTTACATCACCGATACTATTGCACGTCATAACTATTCCGATTTCGTTGTACGCTCTGGCAGCGCCACGGGTCTTGGCTCCTGAAACTGAAACGAAACAATTTTGTATGGGAACCATTGGGAGCATTATAAATGGAAACGTTGGGAATGACAGAGTATTCTGTCCCAGGCCACGGTTACAATTCCACTCCGCTTCCATTAAAAAATCTGCCATTAACGGTCAATCAATTTTAAATTCAACTTGATATACGTAGATGTTTCTCCAGCTCTAGATAGCCGATAGTTTTGTACGTCACTACTATTCAGCCCTGGCTGTAGCGTGGCTCTGGCAACGCCAACATCGTCGTGAAAAAAAAAATTAAAGGTATATTAAGGTATATTATATACTCTTCAGTATATTTGGACTTATCTTTGTATATCTCTCCCAACGTGGGAATTTTCATCGCAACAATAAGTCTTTATTCCGTCCCCTTTCGTTGAATCACTAACCAAATATACTATTTGGTTAGTGGTTGAATCCATCAACACTTACGTATTTTACCGTTGGCAACATTATTTGTATGGAGCGAAAAGTAAGCAGCATTGTTCTTCAACATTTGGAACGAAAGAAGTAAATGTTGCTTCTTGGAGGGACGAATATCCTCGAATTTAAGACATTTTGGAAATCTCAGGCTCCAATCAATGCAAAAACATTCCATCTGTGTTGGTAAGCCATCTTTACACAACTATGCAGATACCGAGAATATATCTAGGCATATGAAGAGATTAAAAACATGTCAGTCTAAGAAAAAGTCATTATTAAAAATTAATAGAGAACAGCTTTGAATATTAAATTTTAATATTAATTTATGAAAATAGGGTATACAAAGGCCCATACCATGCTATACCTACCTGTTGACAAGCAACAAATTGTGAAATGACGTTGCATTCCGTTCCAACTCACGTAAAGTTTTGTTATTTTTGTTGCTTGATCTTTTTAGTTTTAAACTTAACTTGGAAACATTCAAAGAGAAGCAAGTCATAAAAGCCAGCCACTCTCATGGAGAATTGATTGATAAATCGGATAAAATGAGAGTTTTAGTGCGCAGACTCCTAACTGGCTAGTAATATCAATTAGAACATCAAAATCGAGGAATATAATTTAAGATCCACGGTATATTTAGAGTATATTTTGAAAACGCAAGGGTATATTTTGGTATATTTTTGAGGGTCGTAGGTATATTTGATCGATAAGTCACACTGTAGCGTGGCTCTGGCAACGTTGACGTAGTTTGTGCTCTAGATAACCGATAATTGCAAGTATCCAGCCCTGGCTGTAGCGTGGCTCTGGCAACGCCAACATCGTCGTGAAAAAAATAAAATTACAATTTGTGCGAGAACATGGAAAAATCCCATGCGCGGAGTTCACGCCACGCCATTGTTTAAAATAAAATCAAACAATTGTGTGTTACATTGTGCTAACATCGAGGTTACATCCTGCGTGCAACCTAAAAAATACACCACAAATTTTAAGCAGTTTACAACTTCATGCTTCTTCTCTCGTCGACGGCGGCGGCGCTCGTTTCGTTGTATGGGCCGTGCGTAACAAATAAAATAGCCAAAAATCGCGGAAAATGCACAGAGGCTGTGCGGAAATGTGAATAAACGAAAATCGAATAAACAACGCGTGTTTCAGTGTGATTCGTTTAATCAAAATGTTTGGAAAAGGCAAAATCTTGTGACGACGACGTGCTGCTGCTGCGTTCATTGACGTGACGCGCGAGTGTGTGTGTGTTTTGGTGTGTGTTGGCGCGTGGGCCAGTGTGTGTGTGGGTTAATGTGGCTGCGAATTGTTGTCAAACCGAAAATATACATACAACAATAGCCAGCGTGGAAGCAGCAACAAACAAAACACCACAACACATCAAAAAAAGCATATATTATTTAATAACAACAACAAGTTGTCCAAAGGGAAGGAAAAGAAAGCCAACAGTCGCGTGCAGTGCAGTGCAAAATGTCTCTCTCGTTTGAGTGTGTGTGTGTTGAGTGTATAGAATTGAATAAGCAGTGGCACACAGAAAGAGGAAATATGCAAGCAGTAGCTTAGTCCAAGCAGCAACAAGAGGAACGGATCTGTAAAATACAAAGAAGAGAAGAAGAAGCAGTAGCGGGCGCCAACAACTGCCGCACCGCACAAATGAAGCAACCAAATTTTGTATAATTTTTACACAAGCCGACATTTGTCTGTGCCCCCGCCACCACCCCCCTACAAAAAAACAACAACAGCAGCACAGGGAGCATAAATCTTTTGCCAATGAGTCGCAGACAGTCATTGGATCGACCAGGTGAGTGTATACAAAAAAATAATGCTTAGCAAAGACGAAAGAGAGAGAACAATCAACGGAAATGCTGATGCTGAGTGTGGGAGAGAGCGAGAGATGCTGCTGCTGCACACGATGTGCACTTTCCGCGCCTGCTCTCGTTCTCCTCTCTTTCTCTTGGAGTCTGGCGGCTAAAAATAACAGCTCTCTCTCTTGCGCTGTGTGATGCGCAGCTGCTCTGAAACACTTGAACTGTTGGGTTTTGTAAACATCAGCCAGAATCAGAAGAATTAGAAGAATCGGCAAGCAGTAACAAAATAACTATATAATTACACTTTTTCAACACAAAAAGAATCCTGAAATATGAATAGGACGACGACACCGCGCCCCCTTCTCTGCTTGTGTCTCTCTTCCTCACTCACTCGCTCGCTCGCTTGCTGACAATTCTATTTTTAGAGGTAAAAACTCGAGCGAGGAAAAGAGAAAGTATGTCTGGCTGGGCCACTACTGTCACTGTTTCTCTTTAGCACATGTAAATGTGCAGTGTCTATGTATCTGTGTTTGTGTGAGAAAGAAAGCAAGCAGTGGACGTAATGGCCAATAACCATAAAAAAAAACAATAAAAAACTCCTCAACATTTTGCTTTTGCCAGTTTTCAGTTTCGCTAAGGTTGTAAATATTGTTAACCCACTAATAATAAATTTAAAAAAAAACTGCGGCAGGAATGTTGTCTAGTTACGAGCATAAACTACAATTAGCATTGAATGCGGCTTTCCGTACAACTGTCTGGCCACCCGGCCCCGCCCCCTAAAATACTTACACCTGCTTTTGCGTGTCTGTAGTCTTTAATTTATTTATAACATTCAATGTAAACTATGGGCTAAAGCGCCAGCAAGAACACAAACAATTTCCGATGCAAAGCGTTCCCGCGCGCAAAGCCAACAACCAGATGAAACCGACTGCAGGCATACCCTATAAAGGAAATTGTGAAAAGTGCGAAAATGTGAGCATTTTTTCTTGATTCATGGATGCGTCGATCAAAACACATATACCCCTAGATGTTAGTCTCTTAACACAAGTACTTAGAACAACAAAATGCAGAACGAAGGTACATACCAAACACCATACAACACAGGCACTGTAAGCAAGGGGCAGCAGTCAGTCATTCCGGCAGGCCAGGGAGTCAGTCGCGTTTGCTTGGCGTTTTTTTTTTATTATTATTATTTGCCGCTTTGTAGGTCAGGGTTGTCGTGTGTAATGCAAAACGTGCCAGTAGCAAATTGAATGAATAAGCGTGGCTGACTGCACCGCCCATATCCCATATCATATTCACATTATATTCTATTGCAACTGCAACAAAAGCATTAACAATTATTCCCGTAAATTTTCCGACATTCAATAATCACAACAACGATGAAATTAATCCAAACAACAGGGAATAGAATAAATAAACGGAGTTCCGTGCATACATATTTAATTGAAAGTGCCGATAATAACCGGTTGATGGTCAATGATCTACAAAAGTGGACCCCAACGACTCTTTGGATTGAGTTTCCTTTTCATACTGAATCAAATTTCGATGCATGGCAATTTTCTACAAAGTGTATTCAGCTCCCGATTGCAAGATATCAGATATCTGTAGTGTCCGCTAATAATGGCTATGTTTACACAAAAAATGATTTATTATTGTGGATTTTGCGGACTCTAAGTTAGGGCTTATATGGGGAATGAGCAAGTCAAGCCACCTACATAATATATTTTTATGCATTGTGTGGGCGTTGCCATCAATTGGATTCGATTTGTGTTGTTATTGTTTCGATTTTCACGTGCCAAGCCCTCATTAGGCACTTTTTAAGGTTAAATCGATTTTACAGGCCATTAAGCGTAATTCAAATTGTTTTTATTTCCTATGGGTACTTTGAGTAAGAATATTTACGGATTTAATGAATTTCAAAAGTGAAAATTTAACTAGAACTTTCGATTTACTATTTACTTTACACATTCTGGTGTATAAATCTTTGCGGATTCATCTATGGGAACTTGTGCAAAAGTTGAATACATTACCATCCATTAATTTCGATATTTTGTTAACCCTTTCATATGGATCATTAGTATAAAAGCTTCCTGTTTGATTTTCGATTATGAAGCGATTAGTAACCATGACTCTGACTCTCTCTCCCCCATCCCCTCTCTCTCAGTCATTTGATGACTCGTACAAATTACATATGTACATGTTAAATTCCCACAAAAATACATACACACATACATATCCATCTATACGCACACCTCTATATGTATTAAAAGTGTACGTTGACAGAGTTTTATTAGAATTTATACTCTGTAATATACACACGGTACATATTTGATTTGCTTATCAGTCAGTCGAAGACAGAGACAGAGGGAGCGGTATAAGAAACCAAGGCTACTTGGGCCCAAGGTGTATTCACACAAGGGTGCGACATTGTCAGAGGGCGCTCCAAAACGATAGTTGCCCGTTCAACACAAAACTAAACAGAGAGAGTCAGCACGAGAGAGATGGAAAGTAATACATGCGGGAATGACTCACCTTTGTGTACTTATACACCTTGCTTTGCCAATGCTCTCTCGCGCGCGCTCTCTCTCTCTCTCTCCCTTTCTCGGCTCTCTCGCGCCCACGTTTTCTTATCAATGCATTGTTGCTTCGTTGCGCCTAATTGCCGTTGGGTTTTATACATATACATAAACATACATACATAAATTCTTTTTTCTTTCGTTCTTTTGTGTAATGATTTATGTATAAGCAGCAGCCAGACGCTAATTCGCCCACAAAGTAACAGCCGAGGCCAAGAACAATGTCAGTGGAATTTGATTAGCATAGGAAAGCCATAAGAACCCCACAGGCCCATGACCAGGCCTAATGCAGACGCCAGCCCCACCCCCTTTTTGGGAAAAGTCGAGCATTCGAGCAAGTCATCATCCTCAAGTGGCTGCCGACTTCTGCTTTGGCACATCATTAATCTTGGCTCACAAAAGAGAGATGAAAAAAGTTGTCAAAAGTTGCCAAAGCAACACACACCGCACTCTTCCTCTCCCTCTCTCACTTTTTCGTTTCTGTTTCTGCAAGTGTCGTTCTGTCTGTCTCATTCCCACCTAATGAAATTGCTTTGATTTTGAGACTGTGAAAGTTTTCTCATTTGTGACAGAAGAAGAAGACGGCCAAGAAGAGTGAGTGAGAGGCAGGGAATTACTCGAATCTTTGTGGTTAGGTTGAAAGTTTACACTTCTCCTTTTTGGGGGGTTAATCTGGTTGGTGTGTGCCCCAAAACGATGCTTGCGATGTGTATCTATCTATTAAAAAATTGAGGGCGAGTCGAAATGTGGCCAAAAGACGACGACAATCGCGAGGAGACGAGACGACTCCTCGATTCCACGATGTGTCCCTGACGCGGACGCTTACGCTCTCTCAGGAAATTGTTTTTGGGTGAGCACACAGAGAAATTAATGGTAATAACAATATGCAGGGACAGTGCTCTGCGGTGGTCAGTCGGTTCTCCCCTTTGTGTACGCAGAATAGTAGGCAATGCTATTTTGATGCTGCATTTACCAACACTGCTGAATATTTCCCTGCCTGTGATGTATCCCGGAACCTGACGACATGTGGAATGTTGTGTATTTTCTAGTGGCATAAATTATTTTTGCCGCCCGAATGTCTAATATGGCGGTTGGCTTGCCGCGCTCTCTCTCACACTCTCCATCTCTCTCTGGCGTGCTATGCATGTTTGTGTTCTTCTCTCACTCTCTTTTAATCGATTTGGTAACAGTTTCCAGTTGTTTTCATTAAGGGTTATATTCTGGTTTGATCTGGAGCCACAGAGAACAATCGTCTTGCCAGCACTAGATGAAACGAGCACAGGGTATATTGGCATGGAAGGGTAGGACTAATCTGCCATAAAAGCTTGGACTTTGCATCACCTTCAGAAAACCTAACCTCATGCGTGCGTTTCATCAGTAATTTTGTACCGTTGGGTTTTTCGTTGCGCCTCTGCGGCCGGGATGGATGCTGTTGTCCCGCTCTTGTTCTTTCTGTTGTTTTTGCTCTCAGGAGAGTTTCTGATTCGACATGTCCGCTCCTGCAACCCTTTTTTTCAATGTATTCATATGCATGTGCGAGCCTGTGTGTGTGTGTGCGTGTAAAGTTTTGCATTTTTATTATAGATAATTTGTGTACAGGTTTTTTGCGGCTGCCGCGCAAACTCCCAACTTGACGACTCTTCACCTCTTCTACACCACTGCCGATGCCGATGCTTCTCTTCCTACTTCTCTACGCTATCCGTTGCCGATGTCGTCGTCCTGTCTGCATATGTTGGATGCTAAATGTTGTGTCGTTTTTGTGTTGCTTCCTCCCTTTTTGGCTCTTCCTTTTGTGTTTAAGCGTGTCTGTTTATGGGGGGAGCCATAATTAATTTTCGACATTTGCTTTCGAGTGTTTGGCTTTGAAGTCTGGCAACATTGGAATAGCAACCGCAAAAAGTTCTGTACATTAGAGCGGGACACCAAATGGCAAGAATGGGGGGAATTGTGTATTTTAATTGAGATTAATGCGAAAGGGGAGTTTTTCATAACAGAGCAAAGGTGTATAAATCAAAGTGAAAATAATTTGAAATATGGTTTATTGCAATATGTATTAAAATATTTATGAGCAAGGAATGATTAAATAAAATATATACGGTCCATGCGAGGAAGAGATTTCGAAAAAGGATTTCTAGATATCGTAAATGAATAGTTTCCAAAGAAGTTCCGAACAGACCAAGGAAAAGGAAAACTCTATAAATAATTTCATTATCAGCATAATATTCCGAAACATTCCATAAAAACATAAACATGAAATTGTAAAATTTATCTTTAGTGAGTTGACTTTGTTCACATGGAAACAAGATGTATTTATTGTAATCCTAATAATACTCGTTTAATGTAAATTCCCTCCATGACTGACTTAATGGCAACCATCATCATCCGTAACATATGGCGGCAAAATGCAAGCTCAA